GAGCGTCCCATGCGTTCTTCTCGAGAAGATTTCGTGTTTCGTAGTAGCTCAGAGCGATTCTATAGTTCAAGTCCCCTAACCATATGATCCGACTGAAAAAGGAAACAGAGAAAACACAGAAGAGTTTTTATCAAAACACATATCCCGAATATCTATAAAAATTGATCGGTTTTCGAAGAATTTGTTTAAGTTAAATCTCACTCGTGCTTGGTGATTCTGTCGGGAACACGAGTGAAGGGCGTTCTGCAGATTCTAGGGAAGGCCGTGTTCCTGAGGATTTCGATTACGTCTGAGTTTCTTCTACGCTCGTCTCCTTCTCTCTCGCCCGACGCCAGATGAGTGCATATGAAGCAAAAGCTTGTCTTATACATCAGCATGCTCACCGCTATGCAACCCTACATCACGTCCCAAATCTCAACTCCAATCAGATACCGAAAACACAAAAGTCGACATATATTTCTTCCGTCTTGATTCAGAGTCGCGATTTCTAACTGTGAAGTATGCGTAGGAAATGCAATTTAAGAGATTTGAAACGAAAAGACAAGGAGAAAAACTGGATATGACACTGCTGTTTAGTGCTGAACGATTCAGGTTTAACTTGGAAAAGAAGAAAGGTACCTTGTTTCCCAAGCAACCCATGATCCCGCGAGTGACGCTGGAGATTCTGAGATGGCTAACGTGAGGAACGAGCTCCTTTCTCATCCACACGGTCAGAAATATTCCCACCATTCGCTTAGATGCCACAAGACTGTACTTCATCGTCTGGTTTCTTGCCAAAGAAGCAACCCCTCTTTCGTCATCGTCTTCCTCCCCCTCTTCTTCATCAGACGGGAATCCGCTTAGGTTAACCATAGATTCCGGGCATCTGAAACAAGATTCTCTCCCGTACTTTCTCTCGAGCTCGGCTACCGAGCAATTACACATCTTCAGTTTTCTCCTGCACTCAGTTCTGAAACTCTCGCTGATTCTCTTCAACGAGGGCTTCGCGAAGAACATTGAACCGGCACCGAAAGAGGGATTCAGTTTCAGAATCTTGGAGCCCGTCCCGTTCGAGGGATTGTTCAGAGCTTGATTGATCAGAGCGAGCCATTTGGCCGCTGGCTCGTTGTCTTCGATCACGAGAACGTTTCCTGCATTCAATGGAACAATCTCCTGAAACCTGCAGGAAGAAAACAAGACAAGAAATCAATCCAAGATTCTTGTCAGATTTGGAGGATTTCCGATGATGTTTTCGGATCATTACTACCCTAAAACGTAAACATCGAATTCATCCCGGGCGTGAAGAAGACCGTCCAAAGCGATCCCTGCGTGCGGAGATTTCCCTCCCACGTTCCATGTCGCCACGAAAACTCTTCAAGAGATGGAAACACAAACAGATAACATCAAGAGAAAAAAAAAATATAATGAACGTACAAAAAAAAATCAGAGAAGCAAGAAGAAGGGGAGGGCTCTTGAGCACTTCAACCTCATCGCCAGTATAGAGAATATATGCTCGGACACATTCAAGAGATTTTAATTTCGATCGTGACGTCATCATCATTTTCCAAAAGAGGAATAACTGTGTGTGATGATCGCCTAGTTGGTCGAGATAGATATCATCCATCTTATATAGAAACCGTTTTTTTAATCAAGTCGATCTTTTTTTGGACAACTTCGTATATATGTGTGTATACATATATATATATATATATGTGTGTGTGTGTATGCACATGACGACATACCTCAAGGATTGAACTTGCTGAGTAGGCATTAAAGATGGAATGTTCCTCGAACGGAACTGAGATTCAACAACCGAATCAGATTTAACTTCTGCAAAGAAAAAAAAAACCAGAAAAAAAATGAAACAAGAAAAAAATACACAACACACACACATACATAGATACATATATACATATATATATGTACGCATACGTACATGATGAGAGAGAGTGAATCAGACATGTTCTTGAGGGTTTCAAGGAACTTTCTTCAAAGTGTTCCCATGGTGTCTGAGAAATGAAAAACATTTCAGCATGACTCAATTTTTTTTTTCGGGTTCAAAACAGAGAAAACTGAAAAATTCCGGGGACCATAGATTTCTTTACAAAAGCTTTGGTTTATACAAAAAGAAAGGCAGAAAAAAAAAAGTCAGAATATATTCTCTAATCCGAAATCAAGAACAATGTTCCCTGATGGCTTATACAACCATATTTTCTTAATCTTTTTATTTTTTTTATAATGAAACCGTATTTTCTTAATCAGATTGTTTAATCTAGGGATAATTTCATTTAAAACCCTGTATTTTTCTCTCATTGGTTTATACAAAAAGAAAGGCAGAAAAAAAAAAGTCAGAATATATTCTCTAATCCGAAATCAAGAACAATGTTCCCTGATGGCTTATACAACCATATTTTCTTAATCTTTTTATTTTTTTTATAATGAAACCGTATTTTCTTAATCAGATTGTTTAATCTAGGGATAATTTCATTTAAAACCCTGTATTTTTCTCTCATCTCAATTTAAACCCTATACTTTTTTTTTATCCAAAAAAACATTGTACTTTTAAAAATTGGCAATTAAAACTCTATATTTTTAAAAATTGGCAAATAAAACACTGAACAAAAAACAATATTATTTAATGCTGACATGGCATCCTAGTCATCTGCCACATCATCAATCCTTAATATTTAATAATATTAATTAATAAAAAATAAAAATAAAATAATAAAATAAAAATAAAATTTTAAAAATTATATATATTCATAAAAATTATACACATATATAAACATGTTTATAAAAATTTTAAAATTATATACATATATAAATATATTTATATATACATATATACATATTTTTATATGTATGTGTGATATATACATGCTTTTCTAAAAATCATATATATATGTGACATATGCATGATTTTTAGAAAGAAAAAAAATACATATACTACATATGCATATAAAACATATATATATATGTATTATATATATGTGTGTATATATATAAATATGTTTATATATGTGTATATATGTATATCATTTCATTATATATGTATGTGTATAATTTTTAAAATTTTATTTTTATTATTATTATTATTTTATTTTTATTTTGTATTAATTAATATTATTAAATATTAGGTATTGATGATGTGACAGATGACTAGAATGCCATGTTAGCATTAAATAATATATTTTTTCGTTCATGGTTTTATTTGCCAATTTTTAAAAGTATAGAGTTTTAATTTCCAATTTTTAAAAGTACAATGTTTTTTTGGATAAAAAAAAAGTACAAGGTTTAAATTGCGACGAGAGAAAAGTACAGGGTTTTAAATGGAATTATCCCTTTAATCTATACGCTTGCATTATTGAATAACGGTGGCTTTGACTTTTACGATTAAGTAGGTAATTAATATATTAAGCTTCCCTTTAATCGGTCCAAGAAATGAAGTTTAATGCTAATATATTCTAATAGTATATTCTTAATTACAGACAAAAAAAAAAGTTTTTTTGAAACATTCTTAGATTCATATCTTATCAAGATTGAGATTATTTGTTTCTAGCCGATAGGTCCGAATTTGATCAAACAGTCGAGAATTTAGGTAGGATGCGTTCGTGGAACAAAATCCATTGGATATCTTGAATTATTCTTTACTATAGAAAGCAACCATTTCTACTTCGCATATATAAAAATAAAATGGAGTCAAATCGAATAGCACATAACAACATATTTAAAAGGGAACAAGATCGATCGATAAATATATAGATTATTCATAAATTTTGCTAAACCAAACGAATTAAACCTGAATTTAATATAAAATAATAGAGAAAACTGAACCGAAATCAAGATTTCTTATAAAAGTAGCCATTTTTAACAAGAATAAGTTCGAACAAAAACACAGAAAAACCGAATCGAATATATATATTCTTCAAAAAAAAAAATTGAACTTGCAGGTAACCGAATCGAAATCCCAAATGTTAACCCTTGTGCAATTATAATTTGGCGAATGTTTGTATTATTCAATTGATCGACCCTGATAATTAAAGAGAATTTTACGCAGATAAATCGCCCACATTTTATTTTATTTTTATTCTTCCATTACCCACCAGCAGTCTAGCATCATGCAATGTAATGACTCTATAAATTGTTCTATAATATGATATAATATATGGTATATATGGCTTGGACGCCAACAAAAAAAAACTGAGTCAATTTGAACACATCCACCAATTGAAAAATCACAAATTGCGTTTGGGTTTATATATATACACACTATATATATATAACGATGTAATAGATTCGGATATATTAAACTGACCATGCGTAGTATTATGAGTAGTGGGATTTTGCCTGAATTTGCTCTGGTCTTTCTCGCCAATCAGCGGTATTCTTCTAAGCCAAGAAGACTACATGAACAAAAGTTGAATCAATCAATAAACAATAAAAATATAATTATAAATATAACATATATAACTGACTTAGGCAAAAGGGCATAGATTTTGACATTGGGAATCATATTATATACGATCTCATGGACCTGCTTCTTAGTTCTTCCTATATTCATCAGAGAGAAGAAAAAGGGTCTTTAGTTCTAATTTAACAATGGAGGAATGGAATTGAAGGAGACAAGACAGTATCAAGCATGAGAGATTTTGCATTTAAAGAATTTGCATGGGGAAATTAAAACATTCGAAATCCCATTAAAAAAATGGATTGGAAATATAAAAGATTAATAAGTAACACTGGAATCCCACATTCTAGGAAATTGTTCATTCTCTCTCACTTCATACATATAGATACGTGCATACATGTGTGTATCAGTGTATGTATGTATTCTCAAACTCTCGAGTTGTATTTATTTAGTTCCTTTTTTTTGTCAAAATATTTATTTTATTTATTTAGTTCCTTTTATCACTCATATAAATATATCATATCCTAGACTCCTCAAAAGCCCTTCTAACATCATCATTGAAATAATTTCGTAGAAAATTCGGCCAAACCTTTTTTTATGTTCCGTTTGGGTATTTTGATTAGGGGTCCACGTTTGGGTTTGGTTCCTTTGATTTTTTTTTTCCTTCCGATTTCGAAAAATAAATATCAATTCACTTTTCTCTGGTTTCATTTCGGATTCTGTTTTACATTATAAAAAAAATAAATATCACGATCTCGGGTCCACTAATTCGCTGATAACTTATAAGTGCTTAGGAAATTAGTTTCAATTTGACGGTTTAATAATTTAATTAGGGAAGTCGCTAAAAAAATAATAAAGGAGTGCGTATAAATTAAACACATTCTTCTATAGAGGAATAAAAAGAGAAGAAAGCGGTCAAAAGTGGGGACGAATCGGAAACGACCCAACTTTTGGAATTCTCCATCGCCGTTAAAGAAATCTTCTTCTTTGCTTTTGGAGATATTCTTTTATTGTCATATGTATTTAACAGATATATATATATATATTTGTATGTTCGTCCATTGTTAATTGAATTTGGGTTGGTTACATGGGCTTTATAAGTTATTGGGTTTAAACGGATAAAACCCATAAAATACCCACGGGCTTAATGGACGGTTTAGCTCATATGACCCATTTAAGTTCGGCGTCGACTGTTGATTTTGATGGGCCCACAAATTACTTAGTGATGATGGGTAGGCCCTTTTATATAATATATATATATATATATTTCCACAGACTTTAGATTTCTTAGTTCGTTCATGTTATATATATATGGGTATCAATGGTGTTTACGGATTAAGATTTGGATGTATCTAATTTTGTAGACGAGCGCTTCAAATTTTAAATTTCGAAACCTAATCTTTCATCCGTTGTTGACGGGTCTTCGAGTTTCCGGGGGAGTCGAGGCAATGCATGCATGTCCTTAACCGAAGGAGGGAAAAACCAAGAAATACTAAAAGAGGGAAGACGTGATTAAACCGGAATAAACCGGAACATGTTACATGCGCTGGTTTTGGAAACCTAAACCGATAAAACAGTAAAAACATAATAGAGTCAGGGGCATTTAGGACCGCCTCGTTTAGTTTTCCAGTTGTTGTAGCAAGGACACACTTGCTTGTTCCCGTACGTGCCGGGAGGAACACAGAGGCACTTGGTGCAGCATTTGTTGCAGAAGAACAGGCATGGCTTCTTGTACTGCGTTCTCGAACATCTCCCCTCACATCTCCCTCTGCACTCTTTTTTTTTTTGTATCAAGAAATCGAATCAACGGAAAAAAAAAATCAGATTTCGGAATCGTCGCTCTACAGATTAGATTATGGCTGAGAGTGGTGACGACGACAGTTTCTTATTATACCTTGAGGTTGGAGGCTCCCTTGAGTTGTACCATACTGTACAATCCAAACCATTGAAGGATAAGGAACGATTTCAAAGTATTAGAGTATCGTTTAGGCTTCAAGATAATGACGTGGCAAATGCTATTATTGATAATAAAACGAGCTTAAACATATATTATAGTTTTTTTCTTCTAATAAACTAAATATCAAAGATAATTAATGATATATAAACTCTTGGTAATTCTCAATATAATGTTAACATTCGATTATATTGATGTGATAAATCGTAACGACCGTCTTGTTACCTAATAAATTATAACAAATGAGTTCATACGCATGTAAATTCTGATATTATAATGAAGTGTTTGTGTATATATATTAAACCGGAGAATTTCACCTGAGAATTGTTAGTGTTAGATTGTGGAGGCTGCAGCAGCTGAGGAGAAGGAGCCTCGGAGTGATCGGTGGCCTGTGGGTACACCAACATATAATATAAAGTTTCATATAATTAAGATCCATTTGTAACTGTAGAGGATGCTGAGAATAAACTAAACTTACATGCGTTTGGACCAACATAAGAAGCATAAACACAGCAACGGAGAACACACTGGTTTGGAGTTTTGTCGCCATTTTTGTCGGATGGTTTTTGTCTTCGAAACTATGTATATATATATATTTATATATCGGATGTCCAAATAATTTATAATTTTAATATTTGAGTGGTGAATACAATGTTTTAAATAGATAACATGTGAATGAAATCAGTGCCGGATTTATATATATATATATATATAATCAGTGCCGGATTTAGAAATTCTGTTTTGGAATATATATAACGAACAGAAGTTAATGTCTTCGACTTTGTTTTTTTTTTCTAGACACAACAATATTATATCTTTACAGACCATAAATATATTCAGAAGACAGATTTATAACCTTTTTGTTGTTATGTATAATGGTTTTACTTTCTATTTTGAAAAATAAATCATATTATATGTATATGGACAATGAATATGAGCATGATCAATGGCCAATTTAGAATAATTTTTTTTTATTGGATCCATGTGAAGGGAGCCATATGCATGAAAACGAAAGAAGCTAACTCACATGCGTATGTTTGTTAAGCTATCTCATTCTCGTGACTCCAATTTTTTTTTTTTTTAATTTGTCTTGGAAACATTGGTGCCTCTATGAAGGTGACACGTGTCGGGGTTTTTTTGGGTGGTTTGTTGTTTTAAGCCGATTGGTTTTTTGTTGCTCGTGACCTCTGTGTGTTTGCATGCGAATGCATGCACGTGGTGCAACTCAAACTAAGTGTTGAAGATAATTGTGGAAATTACGTCCCTTTTTTTTTTACTAATTTCTCCAAAACTGATCACATAATTATAAAAAATATCATTGCAATTTTTATATACTTTTCATTTTCCCTAAATTGTGTATTAGTTTTTATAGAAAAAAAAATTCAAAGCCCTATAATAAACTAAGGTTTTTACCCAAAAAAAATCTAATTAGTCTTTGATCATGTAAGAGAATCAAACAAAAATTAATAATGTTCATTGAAATCTAGTCTGATTTAAAAAAATAATTAGTTACGATTTTAGAGCATTCGAAAGTCATTACCAAAAAAAAACATTCGAAAGTCCCGAACAATGTTTTTGTTTTTGTTAAAATAAAAAATACAATCGCCCCTGAATGTAAGGCCTAAATATTCGAAATAAATGGGCTTACAAGGCCTATCAATATTTAGCAGTGGTACAAAGGCCCATCAATAATTTACAAGGCCCAACGATTTCGACCATTTCCACGAAATAAAAATAAAACCACCTAAAAATTTATAATTCTGAATAATAAATAATAAAATAAAATAGCGGATGAAAATAATAATCTCTTGCAAAAGAAAAATAGTGAAATGAGTATCGAGTCCTGCAATTTCCTCTGGTTCCAGTTTTGATTTTTTTTTAAATAAATTTCCAAATAAAATAATATTCACTCCTATTCTGAGATATCACTTTGCATTTTCGATCGAGGCAGCTCGTAGGTATATTCCTCTTAAATTCGCCTCTTGGACAAAACAAACCGTATTTTATCCAATCGTTAACCCCTTTAACAAAAAAAAAAAAGTTAACCCAAAAAAAAAAAAGTTCTGAAAATGCTAAAACCATAAAAAAGACAAACCTTCTTCGTCGCTTTAGCTCTGGCAGTTTGGACTGAAGATTTTCCCCCAGATGACATCCTCACCGTCGATTCATCTCATCCTAATCTTCGTATCCCTCCCTCTGTTCCTGGCCGTTCGATCTGATCATCCATGGGAACTCAGGCTGCCGACAACGACGACGCCGGTGAGGAATCTTGCGGTGCGGAAGGGTGCACCGTTCAGAATCGCGATCTTCGCGGATCTCCACTTCGGTGAGGACGCGTGGACGGACTGGGGCCCACGTCAGGACGTTAACTCCGTCAATGTTATGTCCGACGTTCTCGACGCCGAAACCCCAGGTGAACGTTACGCATACCCTCGCCGTCATTTAGGTTTAATTGTTTGTTTCTCCGTCTGCGTTTATAAAACACACGGTTTGATCTTACATATATATACATATAGTATGATTATTATATATACAGCGGATTAAAAAAATACATAGAACCATGGACAATTATACCCTTTAATCTAGTTAATTTAGTCAATGTTTAGAATTAGATAAGAGAAGATACGGGAAACTAACTAACATAACTGTAAAAACTGGAAGAAGGCAGATATGGTGGTGTATCTAGGAGATGTAATAACAGCAAACAATATACCGACAAAGAACGCGAGCTCGTATTGGGACAAAGCTTTGGATCCGACGAGACAGAGAGGGATTCCATGGGCCACCCTCTTCGGTAACCACGACGACGCTCCTTTCGAATGGCCTTTGGACTGGTTTTCATCCTCCGGTCTTCCTCCCCTTCGCTGTCACGACCCGAATTCATCGACCACCGGTGAGTTTTCACGTACGATCTCAACGATTACAAACTTGCAGCTTAAAATTTGCTCTTTTTAGTTATGTTCTGTGACGTTAGGTTGTGAAGAAGTTGCGTGTGCGTTCAAAGGAACAACGCGTGTGGATTTGATGGAACATGAAGTTGCAGAATCCAACAACACACTGTCATACTCCATGAACGGTCCGAAAGAGCTTTGGCCAAGCGTCTCCAACTACGTCCATGTGATCACATCATCCAACCATCCGAAGTCACCCGTGGCATTTCTCTACTTTCTTGATTCCGGTGGTGGATCGTACCCTGAAGTCATCTCAAATGCTCAAGCCGAATGGTTCAGACGCAAGTCCAACGAGCTAAATCCCGATTCACGGTAACCATATATCATGATATCATCATCATCATCATCAACGAGTACATGATGATATGATTATGGAGATGTATATTGATTGAGTTGTAGGGTTCCGGAGTTGATCTTTTGGCACATACCGAGTAAGGCTTTCAATGAAGTGGCTCCACGGCTATGGATAAGAAAGCCATGTGTTGGATCCATTAACAAGGAGAGAGTTGCAGCCCAAGAATCCGAAATGGGCATCATGAAAATCCTCCAAGACAGATCCTCTGTTAAGGTAAGTTCCTTTATATTTTATACTTAGATACTGTTCACTTGTTAATTACGATCTTGATGGATGGGTTAAAATTCGCAATCATTTCGTGTGTAAGATGTAATGAAAATTCGATTTTCTCGGGACGAAACAGGCGGTGTTTGTAGGTCACAACCATGGACTTGACTGGTGTTGTCCGTACAAGGACAAGCTCTGGCTTTGCTTTGCAAGACACACTGGTTATGGCGGATATGGCAACTGGGCAAGAGGATCAAGGATCTTGGAGATTACGGAAATGCCCTTCACCCTTAGATCCTGGATTAGGATGGAGGATGGTTCTGTACATAGTGAAGTCATATTGAGTTCTTGAGTCACACTGGTCGGTCCATATAATTTCATTTTCTCAATTATTAGTTTCTTTTATAAGATAACATCATGCAAACTAAAGATGGTCTGTGGTCAATCCATATATCACTGAATCTCTAAAGGGAAAGATGAGATCCTTGAGCACGCCGAGGCAACGTGTAGAGTTCATGCATGGATTCTTGGTTTGTTAACATGAATCGTCGTTGTCCGAAGAGGGTTGTCCATAAGCATTTGAAGCTCTCTGATTGTGATTCTTTTTTTTTCAAAGTTCAAAGATCGGGTTTGTGATTCATCCTCAAGATTCTCTTACCCTGTAGTTTTTTTTTCCTGATACTGAGATTCTGCAAATGAAAACGAGAGAAGAAACTGTGATGGAAAGAAATGGCAATAAAAGAGTAAAGAGCTCATCCAATTTAGCAAAAAGAAAAGGTACATGACAGAGAATGTCAAGAGTTAAAACTAACAAGAACAGTGTCTGTGATATTTCTTCGTTCCTCCTAGTTTTCCACCTGACAACAAGACAAGCCTTCACTCATGTCCATTCCACATGCCTTACAGAAAGCTTCATCTCATTCATCAGAGCCTTGTGAGACGAAGACAGATGGTTAAGTGACGATTCTTTTGGTTAATGCAAATTCCTCGACGGGTTTTGCTCTATAGGTGATGGATATTTGTTTCGGGACCTATCCGCTCTTACATGTTGAACAGCTTTCTCCTCAGGATCTTCACCACAGCATCAAGGACCTCTCCGTTTTCCATCAGGTACTTTTCAGCAGTTTCTCTCCCATTAATGACCTCACCTTCCACGAAATAGCTGTTTCCTTCTTGTATCATAACTCCATGCTCACAAGCCAATTCTACCACCTCACGCTCAATGTAAAATCCATGACCAAAGTGAATGCCCAAGTTGGCTTTCTTCACTCCCGGTGCCAGCTTATTTTTCACCACTTGGACACCGATATCAAGCCCGATTATCTGAGTACAGAGCACAAGAAGGATATACATTTTTGGTCTTCTAAAGATGAAGAAATGAAGGTATAAAAGCTAGCCGAATACAATGATAACCGTATGGTTATACCTTATTGTCAGTCCTTATTAGTCCGGTTCTCATCATTTTCAGACGTATCGCAGCGTGAAACGCCAATGCGTTCCCACCACATGTGGTCTCTTCCGCATGTCCAAAACCTAAGTCAGACTTAACATGTGATCTGACCTGGATTATAGACAATGATATCAGTAGCGTTTTGATCTTCTATTCAGACAGAAACACAAAAGAGAATCAGAGATATAATAATAGCTCACAAATATTTCTCTAACCTGATTAAGAAAAACAAGCAGAGTCTGAGAATTGCATAACGAATAGTGAATCTTCCGGAGTGCTTGTGTCATTATTCTTGACTGTATGTCTCCATAGCTATCACCAACAGGAACATCAAGTTCTTGTCGGGGGGCAAGAGCAGCAACCTGCAATACCGTGCAAAAAAAAAAAAAAAGAGAAGAATGCAATAGGTTGTGTAAAGAAAACACAGATATATAGAGATGCCAAATAGAATACAGATAACGTGAGAGCCCTCACACTATCAACCACTATTACGTCAACAGATCTGCTCTTGGTCAACACATCAACGATACTGAGCAAATTTTCAGCAGAGTCAGGTCGTGATATCAGAAGATTTTCTGTGTTTACACCAACTGATTCTGCTAGAGTAGGATCCATAGCATTCTCGACATCAAGATAAGCACAATACCCTGGTCAAAGACAGGAGAAATTACTTTCTAGAAAAGAATATCGAATTAAGCAAATGGAGTGGAGAAAAACATTTCGCAAAATCCATCTAAAACATCGCACTGGATGGTGTTTTCGTTTGTCATAGATTCTACTACTGAGTCCTGAGGTTCGGTTCAAATAAAGGTGCCTTAGATGAAAGATTAGTGATAAACTCACCTCCAAGTTTCTGAGCTTCCTTGATGATATGAAGGGCAAGGGTTGTCTTTCCAGAAGCTTCTTTTCCATAGACTTCAACAATTCTTCCCTACAAAAACAAAAAACATATATCTCTTGTAATACACCGAATACAACAGAAACTTGGTCACTCTTGATCAAACTACCTTTGGCAATCCTCCAATTCCCAAGGCTAGGTCAAGCTTCAGTGAGCCCGTAGATATCACTTCAGCTCGACGAGAGCTGAAAAACCGCTTCAAAGACAACCTAGATTCTTTGGAAAAATCATTTGCAAGCTCTGATAGTGCCATATGAAGAGCAGCGTCTTTCTCTGTTGCTTTGCAATCATCCTGGACTTCATCAAGTTCGTAATCTGAATGTTCAGCTGAACATGGACTTCCATTAGAGTGGAAACAGAGTATGCATACACATAGAGGAAATTCTTATTGAGCCGAAAAAGCTTCCAAAACTTCCGAATTCTCCTTTAATTATGGTTAAGCTTGACTTTATGCTGAAAGTGAAAGATTCCATTCTGAGGTTTTACACGCCATATAAAGGGCAGAAATAGAAGAACATCATTTGCAAACAGAGAAAGTTACCAATTACCTACAGATGAAAGATACCGGCTGCTATCCCCACAGCATGGATCAATGTCTTCTCTTCCATTCTGGTGCACATAAGAAGAGGAAACAACAAGGAGGCAATCACTAGACCGATTTTTCGATATCACATTCAGTAGTGTCAGTGAATCTCCAAGAGAAAACCCTATTGGGCAAACCAGTAATTACAGTAGCATTTTCAGAAGGGATAAATCAGTAGTGAATGATAAGGGATTAGATAAGAAATGTAACAAAGAACTCCGAAGCTTTACACATCAAAGTTCACATTTTTTGTTGTCTCTGAGTATCAATGGAGCTGTGAATTCAGTATAAGGAACAACCAACCAAAACCCAAGTTTAACAATGGTACATCCATCGGAAAGATCATGTCTTTATAAAACGAAAAGCACGTACCCTACTGAAATTTTGAATTAGGGCAAGAGACTACAGAAACCGACCATTCTCGAGAGCCGACCAAAAAACCGAGACACCATTACAGAGGAAGAAAAAGACGACAATTAGCAAAACCTGATAGCAGTAGGAGAAGAAAGAGAAGGGACGATGAGAACTCGGCTTCAGACTGGTGGAAACCGACCGCCACAAGAGTCGCCCCATTTTCCGTTGCCCCGACGGCGGCGCGTGTTCAGCAGACGCGCCTTTTCTTTGTCTGAGCCATTATTTCGCTTACTCCACTCTTGTTAAAAGCTCTCAAAACGGAGCGTTTCGATAAAAGCATCAACGGCTAATGTCCTTCCACGTCGTAAATTTTTCAGATTTTTCCATTTTGATTTTTTTTGGACGGATGAAATGAAAATAATCCCATTGTATACTCAACCTGCAACAAGATAAAACAAGATTGCGGAGTCTGAAAGGTTTGGGCTTTTGGTGAGGAAAAAGCTTTGATCTTCAATGGAGGCTCTGCAATTTTCCTCCCATTTCTCTGTGAACAGAATCCCATGTGCGCAGAGTCGGAGTGGAAGTTCGAGAAGCTCTGCCACATTTCGTTCTGCATTTACTGGTTTCAGCAATTCAGCTCGGCTTTCCTCCAGAAACCCGTTCACGGTTCGGCTTGAAGTTTGGATTTTTTCCATTTGTTATGTGGTGTTTGACTGAGGGGCTTGGGTTTGTGTTATTTAGTGTCTTTGTCTTGTCTGGGTCTGTGTTTAGAGGAGGATATGGAGTTGGGTGAACTCGAGGACTGTTGGTCATGGAAGAGACAAAAGGAGTGTAATAAGGGCTGAGATGTTCGGACAGCTAACCAGTGGACTTGAAGCTGCTTGGAGCAAACTCAAAGGGGAAGGTTCGAGTTTATTTTATCTGTCTTAAGCCGAAATTTTGAAAATCTTGCAACTTGTATAGCAATGAGGTTATGGAAGTTTGCTTGGAAGCACGATGTTACTATAATTGAAAAGGGTTGTTTGTGAGATAAATAAAGCCATCGCCTCTGATCTAGAGGATTATAGAATAGAGATGGCCTGTGTTTATGAAGAAAATACAATTAAGTGAGAGTGTGCAAAGGCACCTAACGCAAAGATAATCAAATAAAAGAACTTTTTTTTGATAGTCGAATGAGGACATCATCATGGATAAAGGACAGTGCAATCATGTTTCTTCAGAGATTGCAGAAAGGATGAGTTGCAGTTTTCTTTAAGCAAGTGATTCTTGTACTTGCAGAGGTTTTGACAAAGGAGAACATCGTTGAGCCAATGAGGGATATCAGAAGAGCACTTCTGGAGGCAGATGTGAGTGGGATTGTTTTCTTCCGTTAGCTCCTTATGGAGAAATGTGTGTAAAGTGAAATCATTTTGGTTGCTTTGTGACAGGTGAGTCTCCCTGTTGTCAGAAGGTTCACTCAAGCTGTCAGTGACCAGGCTGTTGGAATGGGTGTTATTCGTGGAGTGAAACCAGATCAACAGTTGGTCAAGGTAATTCTTGTCGGCATAATTCTTCATAGTTCATTTCTTTTTTCCCCTCTTTTCTTTGTGCTTTTCTCCATCTTCTTTCTTCGTAGCCACCCATCCTATTCCATCTTTTCATCAAGCCTGATCAATGGTCATCTGTGTATCTTGAAGTATCTAAACCTTGAGCTTCTTGTCTTTGTGACAGATTGTATATGATGAGCTAGTGAAATTGATGGGTGGAGAAGTGGTCGAGCTGCAATTTGCTAAAACGGGTCCGACAGTTATATTATTGGCCGGGCTTCAAGGTGTCGGAAAGACGACTGTTTGTGCTAAACTCGCGTGTTATCTAAAGAAGCAGGTATGCTTGTGAAAAGTGGTAATAGTTTCAGAGAGGAAAGTTGGTATAGTTTTATATGTATGACATTTTATATTTCTTTTTACAGGGAAAGTCTTCCATGCTTATCGCTGGAGATGTGTACAGACCGGCTGCCATCGATCAACTAGTCATTTTAGGTGAACAGGTAATGAAATTTTGATCTTGGAATTTATGGTCCACAAGTAAACTTCAGATTGAAACCTGCATTATATGCGTAACTTCTGAGTGTGATCTTTGAGGGAAGGGAATAAGGGGTTGGAAATGGTTGTATTGCATGTGATCTATCTTGTAATGATGCTCCATTGTCAAAACAGATTTTCTCTTACTCGGAATTTTTTCTGTCACAGGTCGGTGTGCCGGTTTATGCAGCTGGCACTGAAGTTAAACCTGCAGATATAGCAAAGCAAGGTCTTCAAGAAGCTAAAAAGAATAACATAGATGTAGTAATCATGGATACAGCAGGAAGGCTTCAGGTAATGAATCTTTTTTTCTGAAAGGAAGGATACTTTGTCTGAGAAGCACTGCAAGCCCTTCACATCTTTAGTTGTGACAGATAGACAAAGGCATGATGGATGAGTTGAAAGACGTGAAGAAAGTTCTGAATCCCACAGAAGTTTTGCTAGTTGTGGATGCCATGACTGGACAAGAAGCTGCCGGTACTCAAATTCTTGTTCATTTTTCACTAAAATCTCAATCTCCTGAAGCAAAAACGTATCATTTTCTTGTGGATAATGTTACTTTGAATCCATAGTATAACTTCTTTGCTCTTGTCCTACAGCACTTGTGACAACATTCAATGTCGAGATAGGAATCACAGGTGCTATTCTGACAAAGCTAGACGGTGATTCAAGAGGTGGAGCTGCTTTGAGCGTTAAGGAGGTTAGCCCTCCTCCTCTTGGCTTACCAATGGCTTTTATGGTGTTGCTCACAGTAAAAAAGTGGAATTTCTCTTTGTTGAAACATTTCCATTGGTAATGGCTTTAACCGGATATAACCAGGTATCTGGAAAACCGATTAAACTCGTGGGCCGTGGAGAACGTATGGAGGATCTTGAACCATTTTACCCAGACCGTATGGCTGGACGTATCTTAGGAATGGGAGACGTCCTCTCATTCGTAGAGAAGGCACAAGAAGTTGTAAGCTTCAGTAAAATCCCAACTTGGGCTTTTTTCCTCAGACTCTATAAATTGTGAATTCAGATTTTCAATCTGTGTAGATGCGTCAAGAAGATGCAGAGGAGCTACAGAAGAAGATAATGAGCGCGAAATTCGACTTCAATGATTTTCTGAAGCAGACTCGGGCTGTTGCACGTATGGGTTCGATGACACGGGTCATTGGAATGATTCCCGGAATGGGGAAGGTATCATTTCCACTCCATCCATGGCTTCTATCTAAAACAATGAAAGAACTCTTCCTAATGCTTACATAAAACAGGTCACTCCATCACAAATCCGAGAAGCGGAAAAGAGTGTGAAGATCATGGAAGTGATGATCGAAGCAATGACCCCAGGTCTTACTCTCCTCTCCATTATCTAAATCCTGAAGAAATGTTTCCTTATCGATTGTTGCAGTTCTCTGAATTCGGTATATTGCTCTTGTGTACACTTGGGCAGAGGAAAGGGAGAAACCAGAGTTACTAGCAGAATCGCCAGTCAGGAGGAAAAGGGTTGCTCAAGAATCTGGAAAGACAGAACAGCAGGTATGTTCTGTTTTTTCTACTTCTTCTCCGTTCACTTTCAGTTTCAAATCTCGGACAGGAAGCTTCATACCCTTTGTCAGGTGAGCCAACTCGTAGCACAACTCTTCCAAATGCGTGTGAAGATGAAGAACTTGATGGGCATGATGGAAGGCGGATCAATTCCTGCTCTAAGCAATCTCGAGGATGCATTGAAAGCAGAACAAAAGGTTCCTCCTTTCTCTTCTACTTCCAATATGTTCCTTAAGACCACACGAAATGAATCGGGATTGGGTTTGTGTGATTTGCATCTAGGCTCCACCCGGAACTGCTCGGAGGAAAAGAAAGGCGGAATCAAGGAGGCAATTTGTGGATTCATCTTCAAGCAGACCAGGTCCTCGTGGGTTCGGGTCAGGGAACTAAACCAGATTTAACTGTTCTACTCTGCTCTCTCCTCTGTTCTGTTTCCTTCTCATGGCCTCTGCAACTGTTAAAAGAAACCAGACATGAGCATGAACATGAACGAACATTACAAGAATGGTCTGGTTTTGTATCTACTTGTCTTTTCTCAACTCAGTCAGATAGAACTGTTGTGCTCTCAAGTCTTAACACCGCAAAGAGAATGGTTACTTTGTTGGCATCCTCTGTAGTATCAGTATGAGTTACGGATAGTACAGAAAATGAAGAGGGGAATTCCGAAATATTATTATAGTATCGGGGTGTTTTTGCAAAGTAGCCAACAATTTCAGAAGAAGTTGCTGGGCTTGTGGCTTGAGACCTTTGCGTATATGCTCGTACGGTGAAACCATTGGTGAATTACAGAAGAAAGTACCATAAATATGAAATCTTTATTACGTTTGGAATATGAATTTTAAACGTCAAATGGAACTTACCATTACACTGATTATTATCACAAAACCCAGGAGGGATGAACCTGGAAAAAACAATCACATGATGAAATAAACAAACATACAAACAGCTCTGGAATTAGACATCTCTAGCTTCTCTGAAATTTTGTAAAAGAAACTTCAGAACATGATAGGTAGCTGCGGGGAATGATCACCGTGCTCGTGTCTTAATGTCTCCGATCTGTCCGAGGACAAAATAGCGAGATTCAATAGACGCTGAATCAAACCCGCAAACCAGGTTCCCTTTGACTGACTGATACTGAGGATGCTTCACTGTTTCACCATGAAAGAACTTTTGCAACTGCATCCACCAACTGCGCTTGGGTTTTCAGCTACCTGAATATGGTTTAGCCGTCAAACAATCCTCAGAATCATCACAAAGTTCAGGGAGAGGTTATCTAAATCTAAGAGGCAGAAACTAAAGAACGGAAAACATGTAGGCTATGCAGCTTTCACATTGTCTCTGTTGCACCAAAAGGGCATCTCACAGGTATAAAATCAGTCTTAACTTCTTGCCCCACATCCAGTCTACCGAAATGCTCATATAATTTGTAAATGGATAGAGTAAAAGATTCCTCTCTGAATATGGCGAATTCCCAGTATGGCAAAAAAAATGAAGCCGTGGATATCGGAGATGGAAAAAGAAAAGTCTTTTACCACGAATGCTGAACGGATAAGTTCCTCAACATAATCAACGGTTGCTCCTTTCACAAAATCATACGAAACATTATCTACAACCAATTTCACGCCATCCGACTCGAAAACTCTGCATTTGTTTAAAAAAACAGCCAGATTTTAGAAAGAAAGCCGGAAAACATTGCAAAAAACAATGATTTTCACTTTGTAAAAGAAAAAATTTAATAACTTTGAGGTAAACAAAGTACCTGTCATCTGCGTTGGTCTTATTATCAAGCTCAAAGATATATTGAAAGCCCGAACAGCCTCCTGTTTCTACACCCAAACGAAGCATTTTCACATCCGATTCACTAGCTTGTAATTCCTTCATTCTCTGAGGAAAACAAAAATTGCAGGGGTCAAGAGAAGGATAAAGACAAACAATCAAAAGGTAGATGGAAGGAGTCTATAGGTTGTAGCCATGGCTTCGCACAAGGTCCATAAACTTTGGAACATCAAAACGTCAACTTGTGAGATAATGCATGGTGACAATCATAACAGTGAATTGTCTCCTGCGTAACATTTAGTTACCCTGGTCTGGTTCCGACAGTCACTCGAAAGGAAGACCGCGAGGAAAAACATATGATACAGATTTTCTTCTTGTTCATAGATTGCATGACGGCATACCAAATATATAACAAGTTAAAAGGACTGAAAACCCGAAGCATAATCAAAACGAATAAAGTTTACATCATTCCATTCCATTTTCCCCTGAACCGTGAAGTATGAAAGCTCGAAAACACGAAATGCTGCGAACATAGACAGTTGTCCCGTAACTCATCAACTGAAGGAGCAAAATCCAGAAGACACCGCGGATTTCAGACATAAAATTCAAACATCAACCAAACAGGTAGAGAAAGAATCGACCAAATTCAGACATAAGAAGAAAAGACATGCCTGGATACAACTCTGGGTGAGGTGAACGGCGTCGGGAGAAGGAGAATCGGATTGGGCAGAAGACGAAACCGATTCAGACGAGAACGAAGGAGACACTTGGTTGAGAGCGGAGACGGAGGAGAAGTTGAGCATCCGATTATTATCCCGAATACGAGCAGCGAAAAATGGAGCAACGCGTCTTATCAGAGATCTCGACATGGCCCTCCTACTACACAACCAATCTCTCTCTCTCTCTCTCATAAAACTAGAGCATCCCCGGGGAAGGAAGACGATCTTCGCGTTTCTCGAATTTTTCTTCCTCTTCCTGGGAATTTCATTGTCAAAGAAAGCGTGTTATACGGTTATTTCTTTGGGCCCAACTCTAAACCCAGTTAAGGCCCATTATGATTCTATTTAGGCCCAACAGAAAATTATCCAAAGGGTAAAATGTTTATTTGAAGATTGATCAAAAGTTATTAGGGAAGCTAAGGGAGGTAATTGCAAAACATTTTAATTTTACTTGGAAGACATTTTGTTCTAACCAAATCCAATATTATTAAGCATTTTACACTTAATTAGACTCTTCTTTAGTTTTTTTATATCAAAATCGACTAATATTAAAGTATTAGAATTTTTTAATCTTGATTAAAGAATGTTAAACTCGCATTATATTTATTTATTTTTATTAAAACAAATGCCATGTTGTATATATACACACAATTTGATCGAGTGAATTGATGGTTGCATTTTCTTATTATGATGTGGAGTTATGATTTTCTTCTTTGCTTGTTGGCCACTAGAGCCTTTAATTAGGACAGATGAATCCACAAAAAAAAAAAAAAAGCAGTCGTCAACTTCTGCGATCACTTCGTCTTCCACCTCCACCTCTCACCTAATTTACATTTGTATTGTCCCTTCGTTTCTATGAAGAAGAAAATAAATATACTCTATTTGCCCTTATTAATTGTGAGAACCATATAACTTATACATACATATATATATATATATATATATATATATTATTTGGGTGGATGTGGTTCGAATATACAAAATATTTCATTTATCGAAAAAAATTTCTGATGCGTTTGGATGTTGTAACCAACGCAAGGATGATTTATAATTTATATTCACTATGAGAGACATTTTTGTATTTTTCAAGCAAAATAAAGGGTGGTTCTATATATTTTTTTAGATAAATGAAAGTCAAGTTGGTAATTTTAATGGATATAAAAAAATATTTATAAATAATTATATCCGTTATTTAATCATTGAGGAATTAAACTCAAATTTAATTTATAGATAATTTCGAATGATAAAACCGAACTCAACCCAACTAATGAAACAGTATTCTCGAGTATGGTATATATATTTTCTTTTCTTTATTTCTAATTCAGGGAATATACAAACCCGATCGATGTGTAATATATGTAAGTATGTATGTGTACATGTATGTATTCTAGGCTATTCTAGTTCAGGAATACTATCTAACGCGTGCTTATTACAGACAAGATCATGGCTTATAACCAAATCTTGTTTATCCAAAGTCTGATATGCCATCTCGTGGACCGACCCTCCTTCAAGCAACTTCTGCAGTTCTTGCTTGCTCAGGACGATCCTCACTCTCACAACCTTGACGTTCCTCTCGTCATCGCCATCTTCTCTTGATCTCTCCGCCTCCACCTCTGGAGTGGCAAACCTCACTTTCTTCTTCTTCGGATTCGGATTAGGGTTCTCCGAAGGTGCAGGCGAGAGACGGTAGACGCGACCGCAGAGGAGTGTAGCCTCGGGGTTCAGATGTTGTTGCGTGGTTGTTAAGGTATCGAAGAGTCGATGGCCGGAGAATCGGCTAAGGATCTGATGAGCTTTCACGGGTTCTCTGTATTCGAGAATCTTACCGTCGTTTCTGACGATCTTTACCACTCTGTTCTCAAGAACTAAACAGTTCCCCATTTGTCTTTGCCGCTTCTTTAGTTTGTAGTTTTTTTTTTGGTGAAGACAAGACAGTAAGATAAGATTGTGTTGGGAAGTCGTCTTGAAGATGCGTTCTGTATTTATAGAGTTTTGGTTTACGATAATGCCCTCGATTTCTCTGGATATTACAAGCAGTGGCATTATCTCTTGTGGGTCCTCAGCATTTGATCTTTTTGAATGGTGTGGGTAGGCTGGCGCTTTTCTGAATCCCACGATCTTTACTTTATGGTACATTGTTATTATTATTATGATTATTATTTGAAATAATATTAATCCGAAAAATATATAATATAAATGATCGTACAAGATAATCATATTGTTAGATTAAATTATTACAAAAGCTATCTACATTAATAACAAATATTACGAGGTTGCATCATAAAATAAAATTTGTGACAGACCGATGTAATATATAAGCTCTATTTTTTTATATTTAATTCTATGACAGATCACTACAAATTCGTTTTAATTATTTGATTCTTATACTCAAAGAACACACGGCTTGGTTGTTCTTGGCTTGAAAGTAATTGCTAGAAAATGAAACTATATTCAAATTTGTTTTATCTTATACGTCTTTGTCGCATTATATAATATTCTATATTACTTTAGTCTGTTTATAGGTATGCCCTATAAATCAAGATTACCAACGTACAATAACTGGTCCCTAGTGTTGGCCGGTTATTTCCGGTTTGGATTGCAATTGTTAATTTCCGGTTATTTGTTTGGTTTGTTGTTGACCGTTCGACCGGCTTAGAATAGTGAAATGAGGGAGATGAGCAGTGGTTGTCATTTCGGGCTTCCGATGAGCATCATTGACTTGTAAATTCACCCCAATCCATTCCAGCTCGTGTTTCTCGTTTAGTCTTTTGCTTATAGTTATCAATTTTGTCATTGCTAATATTTGGTTCATAAACGTACGTATCTCTTTCATGCACCGATGATGGATGATTATAAGGAGGATTTGACATAGACTTGATTCAAAACCTAACACAAACAGAATTGGAGAAAGATTGAATCGAAATCGGAATCGGAATAATAAACATGCTTATTAAACTATCTGTACCCATCGCTGTCATGCATACATTATACATATATACATGTGTATATATATCATACATATACAAACAGATGTGTATGTGCATGTAACAGTTGGTTGGTTGTTCATTTACTCCTTGAAGAATCATCATCATATGTCATATTGGGAATTATGCAGATTAAAAATTATAAAATCATGGCATTCGCGATCTCGTGTAGTAGTAAAAAAAACTAATGATTTTCCAAGAGGTTATGAGTTTGATTCCATTCTCTAGGGATCTGTCACTCTTTAGATGGTTTATCTGTCTCATATGGTTTACATGCTATTACGTGGAATCAGATGATTTATCACTGCGTATGAAGGGATGTGGCTGAGTTTCCACCGTTATAAAAAAAAGAATTATAAAATTGGAAACTATAAACTAATCCTATTGGAACACTAACACTAATCCTATCAAGAATATAATTCCATAACTCTTACTCTCCATGATTCCCAATACATGCTTATTACATTTTCTGAAAACTTATAAGATTTACACATTGGACATTATACCTACAAAAGTAACTAAAGCATACCATTATGGAATATCATATACAATTTCGTCCGATTCAATTCAATTCACATGCTTTATATATAAGTCCAATTCGCGGAAAATAAATATCATCGAAATATCAACACAGGTATATATGGGACAAGCGACAGATGAAACGAATTATACATCAATTAAAAAAATAAAAAGTTTAAGAGTTTTAAGCACCGATCGAGATGACTCATGATCGTGGTTGATCCCGATTCCAAGTCAAGCAAAAGTTGCAAGGGATGTTAAATTCATTGTTTGGAAAGAAGGGCGGTGAAAAAACAGTGTGAAAAGGACATATATATATATATATATATATATATATAGGGTTCATTAAGGAAGATAAAGAAATGTTACAGAAATTACAAATGAAAGAAATAATGGGTAGATAGAGAGAGACTGGAGACGAATTTTTGCAATTAGGGTTTACTTGCGTGTATATGGTGGATGTTGCTGTAAGCAAAGCATGCTTTGCCCCCTTGGAGAATTTTTGTCACTGCTTTCCTCTTCATCTCCTTCCTTAGTGGTGGCGGCAGAAAAAAATTTTACACTTTCTTTTTTGTTAGTAATATATTGAAAAATAAAAATAAAAAAGTTGAATAACTTTAACCAATCCCTTATCATCTCTCTCCCCATCCAATGTCCATAGCCATCATCTCTTTTCTTCTTTTTTTCTTTCTCATGTTGTGTGCCGCAAACTAGAGTGGGTTATATGTTAGAATAGTGGTCGGACCATATATTATGATTTATATAAGATATACATGTATATATATATATATATTATAATCTAAGATAATTTATTTATTTATACATATTGTATGAGAACCATTCAATAAAATCTGTACAAATAGTATTATTAATTATGCACTTCTGGGTAGATAATTTAAATTTTGCTACAATACATAACGCGTGATGACGATTAACTAATTATGTTGGATATTCCTAGAGTATTTATTGTATTGAAGTATTATAATCAAATTAAAAAATCATAAATTTAGGGATAATATTTCGTGTAAATAGAAATAACGTTTTATTTATTAGAAGTTATAGATGGTTTTATAGAAAATATCGTGAATTTTAATAAAAATCACATTAAATACGGTATATAAAAAATCTTTTAGTGTATTAAAAAATGTATTCGAGTAGTCACGTTTACCCAATAAAAATAAAACGACCTTTTTGGTTATACTCTATAAAATCATATCTCCATATTTGCATTTTTTATGTTATTGACGGTTTTTTTTTTTTTTTTTTTTTTTTTTACATTTTACAATTTGAAACATGAAAGAAACCAACAACAACATAAAATATATTTTAAAATGCTAATTGATTTCAGAATATCAATGACTGTCCCACGACAAAAAAAAAATCTCATTAAACAATCTTAATACATTTGGAGGGAAATAGGAAATAAGAAAATGTATTGGCCCACGACGATCATGCCAAAATATCACAAGGAATATCTCTTGTTTTCCTTTTTTTTTTATATTAATTCTCGTGATTGCACCGCCTTAGAAAGGTGTTGTTTTCTTTTCGTTTTGTTTTTTTTTTAAAAAAAAATTGGAACATAATATGCAGCATAAAATCTAAGGTTAAGAAAATATTAGCGGTATATATGGGTATTGATGATAGATATTCGAGGATAATACTAGTTGCTTTTATTATTTATTATTACTGCTGCTGTTGTTATTTTTGTTATTATTATTATTATTATTAGGGACAAACCTAAAAATAATCTTCAACTTCCACACTTACACAAAAAAAAAACTTTCTATTTAAAATTATTTATAAAAAACCATAAACTATTAATTTGGAGTAAAAAAGACCATAAACTATATAAATTATTTAAAATCAATTTCTCACTTTAAATTTGGTATAAAAAATTATCAACTATCAATTTAAATAAAAATAATTATCATCTATCTAAATTACTCAAAAAAATATAATGTTTTACATTTATTATAAAAATCTATTAAATTTAAGTAGAAAATATATAGAAATAATTCTAGAAGTACAAGAAAAATATAATATTTTAATATTTAATATTTTTATAAATATTATAAACATCAATCTATATATAATAATATACATATATTATACTTAAAACAGAGTATATTTTATTATTGTACATATTATATTTAAAATTTTGTCATATATTAATATTTTAGAGGTCTATGTTAACTGCATAAGTAACAATTTTAATTCGCTCCTAGTGTCTTATATGAAGACTAAGCAAACATCAAAGGCGGTTGTCATTCGATTGAGCAAATTCATATTAATTTTTTTTTTGTGTGCCTATCGTATGCTCTGATATGTAATTAATTAGTTGCGAATAAGAAATTCCAATATATATAACTTTCATTAGGTTTATTTTAAGTTTCGGAATTCATGTTCTATGACTTGTATCATCAGCATGATGAATGCATGTACATCACATCACACACAAAAACATATATATTTTGATAAATTATTTTGAAGAATATTTAACTTAGGAAAGGGGACAGTACACATCATTCGGGGATGCACTTAAAAGTTTTCCAATGCAATGATGATAAAGAAGCGCCTATATATTTTATTGTCTTTCTTAAATTCTTATATTTTTAAAAAATAAATAGTCGAGGGAGAGATTGTGGAGGTCGGGAGGGAAATAGGAAATAAGAAAATGTATTGGCCCACGACGATCATGCCAAAATATCACAAGGAATATCTCTTGTTTTCCTTTTTTTTTTATATTAATTCTCGTGATTGCACCGCCTTAGAAAGGTGTTGTTTTCTTTTCGTTTTGTTTTTTTTTTAAAAAAAAATTGGAACATAATATGCAGCATAAAATCTAAGGTTAAGAAAATATTAGCGGTATATATGGGTATTGATGATAGATATTCGAGGATAATACTAGTTGCTTTTATTATTTATTATTACTGCTGCTGTTGTTATTTTTGTTATTATTATTATTATTATTAGGGACAAACCTAAAAATAATCTTCAACTTCCACACTTACACAAAAAAAAAACTTTCTATTTAAAATTATTTATAAAAAACCATAAACTATTAATTTGGAGTAAAAAAGACCATAAACTATATAAATTATTTAAAATCAATTTCTCACTTTAAATTTGGTATAAAAAATTATCAACTATCAATTTAAATAAAAATAATTATCATCTATCTAAATTACTCAAAAAAATATAATGTTTTACATTTATTATAAAAATCTATTAAATTTAAGTAGAAAATATATAGAAATAATTCTAGAAGTACAAGAAAAATATAATATTTTAATATTTAATATTTTTATAAATATTATAAACATCAATCTATATATAATAATATACATATATTATACTTAAAACAGAGTATATTTTATTATTGTACATATTATATTTAAAATTTTGTCATATATTAATATTTTAGAGGTCTATGTTAACTGCATAAGTAACAATTTTAATTCGCTCCTAGTGTCTTATATGAAGACTAAGCAAACATCAAAGGCGGTTGTCATTCGATTGAGCAAATTCATATTAATTTTTTTTTTGTGTGCCTATCGTATGCTCTGATATGTAATTAATTAGTTGCGAATAAGAAATTCCAATATATATAACTTTCATTAGGTTTATTTTAAGTTTCGGAATTCATGTTCTATGACTTGTATCATCAGCATGATGAATGCATGTACATCACATCACACACAAAAACATATATATTTTGATAAATTATTTTGAAGAATATTTAACTTAGGAAAGGGGACAGTACACATCATTCGGGGATGCACTTAAAAGTTTTCCAATGCAATGATGATAAAGAAGCGCCTATATATTTTATTGTCTTTCTTAAATTCTTATATTTTTAAAAAATAAATAGTCGAGGGAGAGATTGTGGAGGTCGCTGTCGCTCATTTGGCACCATATATATATATATATATATATATATATATATATATATATATATTGTGTGTCGTTATGATTTTTTTTTCTCTTAAAGGAACGTCAAGAAGAAGGCAACATTCACAGGCCAAATCCGTAATATATATATATATATAATACACATTCAAAACGTTTCCTATATATATTGATGAATGCATTATACAATTATACCCTAAATGATAAGATCTTTTACGCGACAACATGTTAGTTGTGACCACAAGAACATACGAGATATTCAGATAAAATGGATTAGTATCATTTGATCATAATTATAATTAGATTGGATCATTAAACTCAAATAAAACCACGTACACTTCTCAAATTTAGTTCCGATAGGAATAATTATAACTTTAACTAATTTTCCAACCAAACTAAGATAAATTAAGATTAAAAAAATTGTGTCATTCTAATGGCATTTTATTATAATGATTTAGGATAGCTATTAATTGGAATGAAATTAATTGATCCTTCAAAAAAAATTCACTTAATATTTTTAGAACCCAAAATTTACGTAAATCTTGACATGTATACATAATTATCCAAACGAGTAAAAAAAATTCCAGATCATCGTAATAATGTAACATATCAAAGAAAAAAGAAAAGAGGTGAAAGATTCTGTTCTCATGAGCTTTGGGACAGAGGAAGGCAAAGGGAAAGATTTTGTCACCCGTGCAAACATCTCACCCGTTCCCAAGCTTTTGGTCGGTCCACGTGCCGCAGTCTAGCGAATAGTATGACGCCATGTGTCACCGTTGACTCCTATGTCATTGTTTGACTTTACGTGTCATTCTTCTGTTGGCCGCTGCCGATCTCAGTAAATTCTTTGACTTGAGCTACCGATTGACGAAAATATTTTGATTTTTTTTAATAAAAAAAAAGCTATTTAGACTAATTTCAGTCTTGAATCCCGAGACTTTTTAAAACCAACTAATCAAACTGAATTTAAAGAGAATAAAATGATCTACATTTTTTAACGAATGTTAAATTTTATTCAGTAAATAAATATTTTTTAAATAAAAAATAGAATCTAAGGGTTCCAAGTTTTCATACTGAGTGTTGAATGGTGTACATAAATCCGTCTTGACATATATAATTTCAGAGAAAAATTTTATGACCACCAAGTGAGTTGAATATTTGCCCATATTAAAAAAAAAAACTGGTGAAAAAATTAAAATAAAATAAAATCATCATACAAATAATAAAATTACTCGGAAACCATATTTAAGCGGGAATCTTTTCTCCTCTGATACTTGGCCCAAATTGAGTGGCACATATAGGGGCCCAATAAATTTAGATCCAATGGGCCTTTTATGATTGCTCATGAACAATTTGTTTCCTTTATTGGATTTCCAATTCCCCCTTTTAGTTACTATCATTGGGTCGATCCTAATTCAAATTCATATTAATTCATTCAATTCAAATGGATTGGATCAACCAAATTGACATTAGCATTATATGATTTTTTTTTTTTGATAATCCGGAAGTTCACCGGTCTTTTGGTCCGACTACATCTCCCAAATTTCCCATGTGAATGTCCCTCCCCATGTTTGGATTTGAACCTAGGATGAGAGCATGCTTTGCATGTTCTCTCACCTAAGCCACCCAAGCTTGGGTAACATAGTATCATGTTACAAGAGGAATGAGGGATTTCAAAGCTTTAGTGTTTATGGTCCACGTGGGATGCTTTTGTGTTTTTATTTTTATTATTATTTGGTAATCATGTATTCTTTTGTATAGTTTTAGTTGAAATTGACCGTTTAATTATGGGCTCCATTTGCTCAAATTTGTTTTTAAAATTTTAAACTAATTTTCTAAATTTGTAGCGTTTTGTTGCAGTGATTAGATTGTCGTTGTTGTACTTTATTTCCCTTAAAAAATTATTATTTTACACCAACACATTTGTGGTATATTAATGAATATTTATAATTTAACATATATATATATATATATATATCGTGCCAAGATTTCTCCATTTGATTTAAAAAAGCATACCTAATAATTAAATCATTGCAAAATATAAGTAATATAATTAACAAACCTCATATAAAAGACATGATATTTTAATAATTTATGTGTATTCTTTTGATTCGGCAACATGTTAGATTTGATCTCTGCACACCACACCTACGGTTAGGCAGTCAAAGCCACTTTTTCTGATAAAATTAATCGAAAGAATTCAATTAATTGGTGGCTTGGCATTAGGTATGCAATCAATGTAATTTCTAAGGGTTTCTTTTTCATTTTTTTTATTGTATAATTAGATTTTAAAGTGAAATCTGACAAGTGGGACATTTCATGATAATTTGTTAATCTAATTTTTAAAATAGCATGCTTCCTATGCCCCTTTTGCGCAATATAATAATTGATTTATTTATTTAGATATTATCACAATCCACAACAATACAAATTCTTAAATATTTAGTATTTAAGCCTGTGAAGATTTAATAATTTGTCTTGTATATACATATATATAGCTGTGTGCATACAGACCCCAAAAATGATTGTGTATTTAATCATTATTATGTATATGTTATTGTATACGTAGGCAAGTACAAATTATTAACGTTTGCTTAACGTACAATAGACCGTTGAAGGAAAAGATTTGGCAGTCAGAAACATAATTATGGGGGAAATCGAATCAATTCCTATTTTTTAAGTTCCACTTGCACTGTTTTACTTTCAAGTTTTTCCAAAAGGACGGGGTTAAATTAGAAATTTCAAGAAGTTTCATGGTAAAAAGTAGAAAAAAACACAAAGGTGAGGACTTCCGACAAAAGTCCCTCGATCCACTTCACTTCCACAATGTCCGTTCGAAAATACGACCGTTGAAGTTAATAATTCAAAAAAAAAAAAGAAACTAAATAACTTCCCCCTCTTCCTCCCTTCTCCTAAAATAAAAACTTCAGTAAAAACCGAGAGAGAGAGAGAGAGAGAGAGAGATGGGTTGCGTTTCTTCGAAACTGGTAAAGAAGGAACTCGTAAGAGAGATTCGCGTCAACAACGGCGGCGATCACATCGTCTCCCTCACTTCAACAACTTACGGTCTCCTCAAACTCGACGAAACAGTTCCGCAGTTACAGGAACCAGCCAAGGATGTTGTCTTGGAATCCGACAAGCCCAAGAGATCTCCGCCGAGTGAAGAGCCAGAGATCATCAACACTTGGGAACTTATGGAGGATCTCGAAGACGCAGTGCCCGTTTCGCATCCACAGAGGATTAGCCCCAAATCTCGAGGCTTTTTTGGAAAATCATGGATGAGTCCGATGAGATCAGTGGATAAGATGGATTCTCCAAATAGAAGTAAGAGATTTTGTGGAAAAGAGAACAGAGGAACTGCCGGAAACAGTTTGAACTCGAGAGGATTTAGTCCGAACCAAGTTTTGAAGCCGAAGAACGTTCTAGAAACTCCGAAAAGAGGCGTTATGAGATTGAGTTTCCCACTGAAATCAGATGAACCATCGACAGTAATGACGCAGAGAAGGAAGAGCTTCAGCCCACTGTTCGATCCGGATCTCGTTGCTTCCTACGAGCGAGAGTTAAATCAGGAGCAAGAACAGATCAAGACAGTGATTTCTCCCGTGCCCGAGATTCTAAAACCTATGAAAACGCAGGAAATAGAGAGTATCCTCGAGAATTTCAAGGAGATCTGCCCACCAGGAGGGGAAAGCTCAGTGATCATATACACAACAACACTCAGAGGGATCAGGAAGACGTTTGAGGACTGCAACACGGTCCGAGCCATCCTCGAGTCTCATCAGATTCAACTGTCTGAACGCGATGTGTCGATGCACTCGGGGTACAAGGACGAGATCAGGGGCATAATGGGAACAAAAGAGGTGAAAATACCGGCGGTGTTCATAAGGGGAAGGCTGATAGGGAGAGTGGAGGAAGTGGTGAAGTTGGAGGAAGAGGGGAAATTGGGGATTTTGCTGGAGGGTATGCCCTCAGCCCGGCAAGGAGGCTGCTGCCGAGGCTGCGGAGGGCTGAGGTTTGTGATGTGTGTGGTCTGCAATGGGAGCTGTAAAGTCATGGATGAAGAGAAGAAGAAGACGATAAGGTGTTTGGAGTGTAACGAGAACGGTTTGATTCTATGCCCAATTTGCCCTTGAGAGAATGCTATGCCATGTATCAAGTGAGAGGGGAAAACCAAGAAGTTGACTGGCTTTGGATTTTTAGAATGTGTAATAATAATGATGATGTGGGTTGATGATTGATTTAGCTTTGCTTGGTCCTTCACCTTTAAGGGGATGGATGCCTCTCATGTTGTGATGGAGCTTGTAGTAATGTAATTTATCTGATTATTCAATTCATTCATTTCCACTGACCAATTTCTACACTCTTGCCATGGATCGTCCATGAAAATTCATAACCGGAACTTGTCATAATGTTCAGGCAGTTTCGGAAGAAACTCGCACTAGAACTGTGAGGTCGTGTGCTCGGCCGACCTCATGGGAAGTTACTGATAGAACTGTGAGGCCATTTGGGAAAACTTCTGGTCGGAATTCGAGTTGGTTTCCAATTCGGAGGCTTACTGTCTTCCTCTTTTCGCATTGTACATCAAAACCTTGAATGGCTGTGAATGCATCTGCTGGAAGATCATCTTCTTTGTGTTGTGACTTTTCCCTTTTGGGTTTCTTCTGTCTCTTTGCTGTCTGCATTTTGTTTGATGGATAAGTCATGTAAGATAGAGACAGTGTGTGTTGAAGGAGAGAACAGGAAAGACTTTGTGTTTTTGAATAAATACTCTTTTTTTTTTTTGAAGTCTTTAGAGAAATCTGTATCAGTGGAAAAAATAAGAGATTAAGGATTCGGTGTTTTAATTGAGGGAAAAAAAGATGGTATTTTATAATTTCTTTTTGCACCAAGAACCGGAACATATCTATTGAACCGGTTTGGCTCCTAAATCGAATTCCGGTCCGGTTCGAGGCCAGTTTCCCGGTTTTGATCCAGGGAACAAAACAAAGGCGCTCCTATAAATACCCAGGGAAACCCTTCTTTCTCGTCTCTCTCAAAGTTAGGGTTTTTGCCTTTTGCTCTCTCGAGCCGCTGAGTTCTTCCGAT